GTGAAAACGACCTAAAGACGGCAGAAAATGCAACAATGTATCATTTATTTCCCTTGGTCCCGACCAAATGAAGTGAACTACAGATGTGAAAGCACCCTAATAACCACGCACACTAGATTAACTATGACTAAAGCAGGTCGCACACCAGAAGCGCCGCTTGCTCGCCGCTAGGAGCGTGAGTGCTCCTAAATTTTTTCTGGTGCTCCTAAATTTTTGAAGTTGGGAGCACCGGCAATTGACAAATACTGTTTTTTTTTTAATTATTATTATTTATTCTTATTTTTATTTATTTGTTGTTCTGTCATTTATTTACAGTGTAAAATTATTTCTGTTTAAATGTCAAAAACACTCACTTATTTTTAAGCACAAAGAGAGAAATTTACTATTGTTTGTTTTTTATATTATTTTGTGCTGTGTTAATTAGTTGATGAGCAGCAATTAAGTAAAGTTTATTTATAAACTAGTTTCGACAGAACTGTCTTTTTTTTGCGGTGAACTATCCCTTTAAGAGTTACATTTTTAAGACAAACACTATGTATACAGTCTATACTATATGACAGATAATTTAAGCTACACCATAACAAATGCAATGCGTCTATTGAGCAACAGTGCAACACAAATGCTTCATGATATAAATAGGCTCTTATTGATTATATAATAATGAGCCTTATAATAACATAATCATTCAACACAACAATGTCAGAAATTATCAATGGCTTGGGTGTGATATTTGCCCCCTGGTATAAGTGGCAACGCATTGATCATTTTATATGGATGGCTTAATCCCTTATTTATTAGGAGTCCCCACAGCGGAATGAACCGCCAACTATTCCAGCATATGTTTTACACAGGGGATGCCCTTCCAGTAACAATCCAGCACAGGTAAACACCCATGCACTCTCAAATTCACACACTCACCCATACACTACATCCAATTTAGTTAATTCAATTCACCTACAGTGCATGTGTTTGGGCTGTGGGGGAAACACCAGGAGGAAACCCGGGGAGAACATGCAAACTCTACACAGAAATGCCAACTGGCCTAGCCGGGACTCAACCAGCGACCTTCTTGCTGTGTTCAATCATACTACTGTCTAGCATCACATTATAATACATAATATTCATTATTCCCAATTATCAGCAGAGTTTTCCACGTGTATTTACAGCTAATATATACTCAAAACAACTGTATATGTTTTGCATATTTATGAAGACCGCTCTAAACAAAAGCAAGAGTCAAATTTTCCATTTAACCCAAGATAAGTTGACAGGTCATGGTATTTTTAGACACATTACTTTATTAAAATATTAAAATAGACCATATCCTTGCATCACTGAAGGTCAGCATGGAGGCATTGCATCGTGCATGAGCATGCATGAGCGTGTGTGTGCGGGCGTTTGTGTGTGTGTGTGCTAAGAACTTCACAGGCTCACAGTCCTGCTTCATTTCACACATTAAAGCAAAGAACATGTGGCAGGGCAGATAACATTGCCCACAGAAGCACAAATGCAGAACAATAGTCCAAATTGGTATCATCGTTATATCAATCATACAAATCAAGATCGCATGAATTGGAATTGAGTGTAAAATGTCAGAGCTATTTTAAAATGACTTGGTATGTTGTTGATAGAGATTATACAATATCTGCATTGCTAAAAAAATGTTTGGTTTTTAGTCCAGATATCTCAAAAAAGTAAATTATGAAGCTTTTTCTCAACAAATGTAAAATTATTGTCTTGTTGTCACAAATATTAAGTTGTATTTAAGATAATTTAACCTTAAAACATACAAAATAATCTTGTTTTTATTCTGAAATAGGTTTATTTTACTTATCCCATGGAAAAACACACCATATTTTTACTTAACATTACTGAGAACAAAACAATGTATTTGTTTACTTTTATTTATCATTTTTTTTACAATTATACTAGAAAATGTATTTGATTTAATATTTGTTTATTAAATATTTGGACTAAAAAAAAAGACAAAAACTCTTAAGTAAGAAAAAAAAAGCAGTGTATGTATTTACATTTATGTATACAGTGTATTTACCCTGAAAAAAAAGATAGAAACCTGATGCTTTCTACTACAAACACCATTAAAACAACAAACCATCAACCATTTAACCATCTAATTTTATCTATCAAAACCAATATATTTTGTAATGAGTCGGTTTTGGCACAGATGCCACCAAAAAAGTTTCAAACCAGTAGTTTACATTAAAACCAATACAATTTTATAGTATACAGTAGTATTTGTATTGCTGAAATCAGCAGGATTACTTAGCTGAGCCTTTTTAAAATGTATATAAACTCTTAACCTGACCAACAAACCTACAATAGCTAGCTACAGTACAGTAATGCACAATTGAGGTAAATTTGGTTTTATATTTGCACACTCCTTCAACTACAAACACCATTAATACATCAAACCATCCATTTAAATCAAGCAGCAAAACTATCCAATTTTATCCATCAAAACCCATGTATTTTGCGAAGAGTTCACATCTGTTTTGGCACAGATGCCACCAAATCACCAGTTTCAAACCATCCATTTAAATCAAGAAACCATTAAACCATTAAATTTTATCCATCAAAACCCATATATTTTGTAATGAGTTTACATCTGTTTGGCACAGATGCCACCAAATGACCAGTTTTAAGTCGGCAGTTTATATTAAAACCAATACAATTTTATATATATATATATATATATATATATATATATATATATATATATATATATATATATATATATATATATATATATATATATATATATATATATATATATATATATATATATATATATATATATATATATATATATATATATATATATATATATATATATATATATATATATATATATATATATATATATATATATATATATATATATATATATATATATATATATATATATATATATATATATATATATATATATATATATATATATATATATATATATATATATATATATATATATATATATATATATATATATATATATATATATATATATATATATATATATATATATATATATATATATATATATATATATATATATATATATATATATATATATATATATATATATATATATATATATATATATATATATATATATATATATATATATATATATATATATATATATATATATATATATACATATATATATATATATATATATATATATATATATATATATATATATATATATATATATATATATATATATATATATATATATATATATATATATATATATATATATATATATATATTTAAAAGAAATATTTTGAACACTAATTCATCTTTTTTCTTATGACTTTAACAGTCATTATTTAAAACAGTAAAAACAAGGTCAACCATTTGGTAGAGCAGGCAGTCAAAGGGTTAATGCTGAGGTGCAGATGGGAAAAATCTCAAATTCATTTGGACACATTTTATCTTTTGTCATAAATAAAATTCCATTACTGAACA